CACATCGGAAAGTTCGATCACTTACGACTCCATCGCATTGAGATCGGCGAACCAATGTCTGGAGTCCCCACCTAGACCCGCCGCAGCTGCCTCAAATGTCCGTGTTGCCCGCGCACATGCAGTCATCGAATGCACCTATTCGGCCATATGTGTCTCTTTGAGAAGCTGCCGTAAAGCCCTGGAAACCCAAGCCTATCATCATACATTTCCCCACCAGCCCGTACAACACACACGAGCACGTCTGATATCACTCACCAAAGGTATGGAAAAGGCACAGCTCAAATAAGCGAGAAGCGTGTTGGTTGGCCCAACCGCGGTCGTGCGTGGCACGCGTAGGTGGTCCCTTCAGTCCTATCAGTCACTGTATCCAACCCTGGCAATAGATGGCAGCCAGGATAGGACAGTGAACTGATGCCCGGGTGTGGGGAACAGCGAGTGAATTGGACTTTGGAAATCGCGTCCCCGCGGCGCTCATCGCATATTCCTCACTAATAAACAATCTGACGCGCTTTTATATTATCTCGGCACGCCAGAAGCCCTAGCTTGGAAGGCTGCCAGCTAAAGGGGTAACTAGGTCCTCCTTTCAGGATGGAGAGTCAAACTAGAATGACTTCTTCTGTATGTGGCCTCTATAGCACTACCGCACAGTTGGGACCTGAACCGCCGCCTTGTTTTCTGTAAAACAAGTTCTGTCAGGGGCTTAGGGAGGGAGAAGCGGAAGGTGCCTGTCAGTTAGCTTTGTCTCTATTTCGTTGCTATAACGCGACGTGGAAGGGGGTGCGAACACAGGAGACTTAGCGCTTGTACGGACGCTTTATGCGAGCACAAGGTTGGGTTGACTAACTGTTTGGTCACTGCCGCTGCCGTCGCGAGTATCCGCTGACGCAGGAACTTGGAGTATCTCGCCGGCACTTTATAAATGGCTCGGATTGCTTGGCAGACGTCTACCTGGTGGCCGCTATCAACCAAATTAGTCACAGTTGCGCTATAGATGGACTTTTCCAAACCATGATTTAACCAGGCAGCATGGTGCTCTTGCATCCGTTTGGATAGGCGCCTAGTTGTTCGACCAATACAACCTGCCCCATAGTCTATCCTTACTGCCAAGGCAAAGAATCGGAGTGCTTGTGAAAACTAGTCTTATCTTAGCAGTTGGTTGCATGCGCGCGACGGTAGCGTTTAAGCGATGATTTAGAAGTTCGCTCGCCGGATACCCTTGAAATAGCAGTGTGAGAGAGAACTCCTTCTTCTCGGCCGTCGACTCGTCAGATTTTCAGGAAAGCCATTTTCTTTCACAGTTTTTTGTGTGATGACGATTTCATTCTCAACCATATTCGGAGTGCGTATTCTCCTAACTCGGTTGATGAGGCAGCGGACCAGGCCTCTTTTCTGACTGTAGAAATTTGGGTCAGATGTGGTTATGTAGTCCCACCTGAAGTAAACAAACCCTAGCCACCTGTAATACGGGGCCGGTAGTAATGGGGGTTTTTACAGGTGGAGCCGGAGAACGCACTGGCGACGAGGTCAAGTAGTTGTATGTGAAAGAAACGCTCGCGGAAATGCGCGATTGTACTTTGAGTGGTTGAGACATAGCTGCTCTAACCTCTTGCCCTAACCCTAACCCCTAACCATAACCCCCGACCCTAAGCCCTAACCCTAACCACTAACTCTAACCCCAATCTCAACAGTATTGTGCCCATCGGGTGGGGCTACATAACCGCATATTACCGGAATTTTGTGCACTGTCTCTCCATGTTTCCTTAAAAAACACACTTCTAATAATTGTTCCATCCGACATTCACCTAAGTAGGATGTCCAGAAAGAGGAAGCACTCTCTGTTCGCTTTTTCCAGACTGAAGATTAACGCTGCGTGCGTCTGATGCACTTTATACAGGAGGACGTCCAAATCAAGCCTCATCATCATCATCATCATCATCATCATCATCATCATCATCATCATCATCATCATCATCATCATCATCATCATCATCATCATCATCGTCATCATCATCATCATCATCATCATCATCATCGTCATCGTCATCGTCATCATCATCATCACCACCACCACCACCATCATCATCATCATTAACACAGAACTGGTTTTTCCCTCTCAATATTTACTTTTATTGACTGTTTAACTTCTACCACTCTACAGGCCTGATGCTGAATAACTGAAAGCGTATGTTTGTCGGATTAGACTTCTTACATGGATATCACTACTGAACTCAAACATTGATCCACCGTGCGCGGACCAGGCACGCGTAGACGGGCTGTTTAGCTTTGTCAGCCACTGCGCGCGATCCCGTCCCCGTACTTCTAGACTCCGTCTTGACACCTGGCTCAGGGGGGTGCGGAAGGAGGAGGTGCGGTAGATGCAATAAAAGTCCTCTATCACTACAAACAACTTCCGTCACGAGTCGACGTTCCTGCACCCACCATTCTGTGTGGCATACGACGAATATTGTCGTTCGTGATGATCTAACTGTGTGTTTAATTTTGCCGTTGATCTGTGCGTGTGGAAGGAGGGAGCATTTGCAAGCACAGGGCACGGTTAACAACAATAAAGTCAGAAGGCCAGGCGGCCTCCGTCAAGGCAGTCGACTGTGAGCTGCCAAACATGAGGGGTGAGCTCAGGTGTGTTGGACTGATGCACTTGCAGTACACTCTCTTGCATTCTCTCTTCCCCTTGGTCATCCAGAGCTTGTCATAAGCAACTCGCTAATCCCAATGGCCATATGCGCCGATCTGAGAGCAAAATTGCCCAGATGTTACCTCATCTGAAGTGGATGAGGACGAAGTGACTAACCGAAGACATGAGTGGACGTAGGGAAGACTGTTCTTGAGTACATTCGCATGGCCCTGCGGTCTTCGGTCTGCCTGCCCCGTGAGCCAACCAACCACCTTCTGTTTAGAAGTCTCTGCCGACTGACTTGTATGTCTTAACTGTCCCCGTCGCACGCGGCGCGTGTACTCATCAAACATCCATCTGCTCACGTGCGCTTTACTCCCCATTAACCAGGCGGCTAACTGGGATAAAAGGGACTGACACATCGCCCTTACGTGGATCGGTAGAGAGGCGGCCTTTATCCTCATTTCAACGCCCGTGTCAGCCAGGTGTCAGCGTCTGGAATATTCGCTTGGCCTACAGAAATTGAGACAGAGGAACCGAAAACGATGAAATTAATAATTGAAGAGAGGCTGGAATTGGTTGTTCCTCCTAAGAAATGTTGTCAAGGCTGGCGAGGTCAGTCACTCGTAGATCTATTCGGAGCGTGGACAAACATTGTTTGAAACAAACGCCGTGCGCGGTCTATCGAGAAGGAGCAGATCAGGCACCTCAAATGACGACTTAAGTGCTTGTGTTATTGCGTAACAATACCAAGTAGCCAGAACGTGCGTTCGGCGGCATGCCCAGGAATGCATCATCTCCAAAAGTTTCGGGTAAGGATAGGGTATATGATGTTAGTAGTTTTACTGTCGAGAACTGCCTACCATATCTATCTAAGTAGGCGTTGTGTGGCCTCACCCGCCCGTCAGTTCGACCGTCGTTTCCGGCGATATTTACCGTGTGTTCCACAGCAGGCGGAGAGCAGGCATGGTGACTTCGTTATAATGATAGCGGACTTTCGCTGCATCTACCGCATTCTCTCCCCCTCCCCCACCTGGACCCAGTGTCAAGGCATAATGAAGAAAAGCGGAAACGGGGGAAGGCACAGGTTGATGGCGTGACCGAGTCCGCGCCTTAGCGCTCCATCCCACCCCCGCTGGCCCACACAACACTTGACCAGGATTAAAACCAACAACAAAAATGGGGAGGCGATAGGGATGCCAATGTTCTCGACGTAAACCGGTAACTGGGCCTGCCACAACGCACCGCGAATGTTGACATTTGTTACGGGTGCGCTTTCCGATGGCGCCTGCTGCAATATATGGCCCGTGTACTGGTCCTGCTCATCTACCGCGCAGCCCGCTCTGAAGCTAACAGACTGATCCAACCGAAGAGTCACTAGCACCTTACCTTTACCCAAAGTACGTAATCTCACTATCACCTTTCTTAAAGTATCTTGAGAAATAAGAACATTTTTGTTGGGGTTACAGCACTTTAGTGCATTGCTAACTCGTGAGTTAAAAATACAATAATAGGAAACACCATGTTGTCTCCCAAAGACTAGGGTATATTGGAGGAGCAACAAATAACCTTCCCATTAAGGCAGAAAAGTAACGGGTCTCTAAATGAGACAAAAATGATGGTAAACAGCTGTAACGGGGACGCAAATATCGACAAAAGGACTACGGCCCCAACTGCACTCGTGCCCGCTGTCTAGGAACTATGCTCATTTTCCAGCTTGCAGTGGCCGGTTCCCTGCTCCACCCATTCCAGCCATCGTCATCGAATCTGTGGCAAAGTTCTTTGTGACACATTGAAACAGAGCAGGACAACCTTTACTGAGGCCGGCAGAGCATAATCGGCTCAGCAGGCAACGACAGCCATTTTTCCATCAATCTGATGTTGTTATTTCTGACGTGAGATGAGTGTGTGCGCGCCTGATCCATGTTCGGCTGCGGACAATCGCTGTAGGGCAAAATATCAATCGGCATCACGGTGCCGGCGAACCGAGGGCTGAGTCATAAGTGACACAAGCTGTTGACTGACATGGAGGGAACTCGGTCACTGCCTTCAGGCCAAGTAGACCGCCGCAGTCCTTCCTCATAAGTCATCAAGCGCGTAAAATGACCCTAGAGGTATGTTCAACTCTGCATCATAGCACCTTAACCTGTAGCGCCCGAAGACGCTGAAGATAGCCCAGACGAGGTAACATGACGCACAGCGGAACAGGTACTGGCTCAGATGATAAAAGGGAACTGTGCCACACAAATCAACATTCCTCCTTTTTCTCACAGAGGGTCACTCGCCAATGGAACTCTTTGCCGGCGTATGTTGTAAATTCCCCTACCGTGAGTGTGTTCAAGAGACAACTGGATATTCACCTGCTGAAAGGCAATCCCAACTGCCGAAGCCTGATCTAACGGATTACTGAAATTACCATAAGTATACTACTAACGTGATTTCAACAGATCCTTTTTGTTCGTTAAACTTGACCCATATGAAAATTTTCACAGTCCAAATGTGGGGAACAAAGTTTTCCGCAATAATTTTACGAATACCATAACTTTTTCGCATTTATGTTCCATTATTAGATTTACGAATTCTTCTTACTGAAACTGCAATCAAAATTTTTGCAATTTAACCATTTTCCCTCACATTTGTACCGTCTAGATGGAGTTTTCAAAGCTTCTGTCGTTAACACCAAATATACAGACTGAAACGGACTGAGAACGAGCTGCACAAAGGATGTTAGACGCGTAATCATTTTCATCCAATCAAAGGGAAGGAAAAGTTGAACGGTAAGAAACATATATATGGTAGAAACAGGGCGTTCTGTACATCGGAAAGGGATAAATGGCACAGGGATAGATGAGAGTTACAGTATGAGGGATGATCCGTCTGGGGGGAGAGGTGACGCTTACATGCCTGCTAAACTACCCTTGGGGAACGCAGTGCCACGGTCAACTGCAGGGGAGGGCAGTGGGAGATGCCGACGTAGAGCGAGAGAAGAAAGTGCGTTGCAACGAGTTGCGGGATGAGGGAACGGGGGTAGAGAGAGGGAAGAGCACCGGTTACTTTCACCGGCGCGCAGTTACGCCATCGTCATAGCAGATCCGTGCGGGAAGTATCCACTTCATTCAAACAACCATACACAGTTCGTGGGGCGCTACAAGCCGTGCTTGCCTGGATAGACCTAAGTGCATCGATGCGCCTTTTGCATATGAATGTACGCATGGTAGAAAGAATGCTCCTGCAGTTAATTGTCCGGTCTCCAATCCAAGCGCCAAATGCACTCGTGACCCTTAGTAATTTTCGTCAATCGTCTGTCCATTAATCGGACACCGCTTCACAGGGGGAGGCCCATTGTTTTGGCCATCAGAGCAAAATATAAATCCTGAGAAAGGCATAATTCCCTGGTTTATTTACTTCAAGTTCCGCGTGAGACAAAAAGGCGCCGGAATTAAACGGGCTAAGCACTGTACCAGAGTAGCACACACATCACGCATGATCGATCGCTGCCGCACCACCGAGTGGCGTGACCTTGATATTTTAAGTTCTCCCAATCGCACGTGAGGCGGCGTGCGTGTCTCTGGCGCCAGCCATGACATCACAATGCCAGAGGTCTCTCAAAGTACTGGCACCTCATCGATTAGCCGATGTAGGGTGGGAGGAGGCAGATGCCAGCATGCTAGGGCGACGTTAAGTAGCTTCATTTATGAGTGTCAAAGAAAGGAATCCCTCTGCTATGCCCTTACTAAAGCTCTTGCACTGTCTAGGAATATGTCGCACAGGATCCGCATGGTCCAACAGTGCAACAATTCCTCCCGTGGGGCAAGCAGGGGAATAATTCAGAAGTCAATTGAGTTCCATTGTTCAGAAAGGGTACTTTGCAGCGAAAGAGTGACGGAAAGGGGAACGCGGGGTGAAACGGTCACAATGCCTGCTGATAGGTATATGAACCAGCGTTGCAGCATTACACCTAAAGTCACCGCAAATGTGGCATCTGGATCAAACACAAACGCTGTTGGATCAACAATCATATCGCACACCGCTCTGGAACGCATGTCAAATCCACCAATTGATCCTGGCAGTGCTTCTCAGTCCCTTGACAGACGGTCCGGCAATTTCCACAGTCTAAATAATGTGTATAAATACAGACAGTATTCCAAGAAATCGGCGCCACGGAGATTTATAACGGAGATAAAGCTTAATATCCGAAACCCATCCGCAAATTCCTATAGAATCAGCTCTCTTGAACAGATGAGGGAGATAAGGGAGGGGCTTAATTGTGCTGAACCTGCCTTTGACGGAGACGTAAAGAACGAGATGGAATATTGCGCGATTCCAGGAAAGGCTGTGCTGGAGGACCCATCCTTCTTTCCTCCGCCCCCAGACGATTTACTCTCCCTTTCATGCAGGAAATTTCAGGAATTTTCCTCCTTACCTCCGCCAAAGAGTCCTGTCTTCACTGACATCGATACTTCCAAGTCTCAGAGTGGTCGAAACGAGTCGTCACATATGGAAAGGCCTTCTGTTCAACACAGTCGTCATGGCTTCGAACCTGATTATTTTTACTACCGTTCCAGTCATCAACATTCACGATATGGCTTTGAGAACAGAGCCAACGTGCCAGACATATTCGCCTTCCGAGGCGATGGCGTACTCCCAGTATCAGAAACGCACAAGGCAGAGAAGCCAATCAGTCCACAGGTCGTTTGCGGAAGTAACGCCACAGCAAGCATCCGTGAACTTCTCCATGGCAGTTCACTGCTCAATTTGAACAAGCTTTTGAGGCAGTCCGAGACATTGTGTTTCGATGAAGATGAGGAGCTGGGTTCCAGTTCCACCTTAATGTCCTCACCGACTGACAGTCTGGAGGAGCAAAGGAATGATTCTCCAACTCCTAAGGCTCAGTGGATGTCTTCGGGCTCCTTTGATAGGCATTATCCACAGCCTCCTGTGCTTAACCATTCTCGCAGCTCCAGAGGCACCCAGTTTTCGGGGCCGCAAGCCGAAATAGAGAGATCTCTATGCGACAGGGAGGTCCAAACCCTAAAAGAGGACGCAGAATCCGTTTGTGTCAATCCACCTTCAGACGACATGGACGTAAACGCACTTTTAACGGTAAGTAATGACCTCAGTAGTTGTCGGAGACCTTCATAGCACATAAACCTCTTTCCCCCTCCTTTTTATTAAGGGTCAAGAAAGAGAAGCCCATCCTACTTTTCTTGATAAATCATACCTGTATTAGGATAAAGACGAGGGCCAGTGTTTTCCATACGGTATGGTTGCTGGTCAACATGAAGGTCGGATCAGGGTACGGTAAACGTTATTTAGACTGCGTATCCATAACAAATACTGCACAGTGGGGCTGTGGTGGCACACCTAGGCGCCGACTCGCGCCGCGCCAGTCACCCACGGCTACCAGGCTCGGACAGCGGACTGGTGCCTGGAGTAAGGAAGAGAGAATGAGGCCGACTTTGAGAACTGCATCCCCGTGGCGCTCATCGTATATCCCTCACTAATAAACAATCTGAAACCCTTAACCATCCCGGTGCGCCAGGGGCTGCAGCTTGGAGGACTGGCAGCTGACGGAATAACTCGGTCCTGCTCTCAGGACAGAGAGTCAGACTGTAATGGCTCCTTCTGTATGCGGCCTCTAGAGCATCACCGCTCAGATGGGATCTGAGCTGCCGCCTTGTTATCTGTGAAACCCGGGTCCATCGTTCGAGGGCCAGGCGTGCCTGGCACATGTATGTGGGCATTCACACAATGCTGCTTCCGGTCTTAAGGACTTTGTCTTGGCATCGAGCCCAGGTGGATGAGGGAGGAGAAGGTGCGGTAGATGCAACAAAAGTCTACTATAACTACAAACAACTTCAAGCCCAGAACTAGCTTTCGACCGACGCTTTATGGACATGACACTCAGGTCATTTCTCACTCAACACGTCTTATTTCCCGAGAGGGTGTGTAAGGGGCAGCAGTCAAACTGCTTGGACCTGGTGCACACGAAGTCACCGGACAGCATAAATGGTGTGCAATGTCTGCCTCCCCTAGGTCGAAGCGAACACGCCATTCTTCACTGGAATTATTCAATCTTTTGCGTAGAATGTTATTACCGACAAAGGGAAGGGAATCTGGAATGGCCATTTCTGGCTTATTAGCCGTCGTCAGCCAGTCATACCCAACCCCGAATTGTGAAACACCCGATGCTCGAACTCAGGGCCTGTTAGGTAGAAGTCCAACGCCCCTAACCACTGTACCACGGGCCAGTTGTCCTGTTGTTTTCGATCGGGAATATACAATGGTAGTGGGTGGCGCTCATCGATCATTTCTACTTAACTCACTCGTCCCGTTGTCTTTTACGAGCTCTCTCTCGAGCCCAACCAGCAGCCGCACAGCGGCGCAAGATATAACTTAATAGCATTCTGCCTATATCATGCGCCGCTGTGCGGCTGCTGATTAGGATCGAGAGAGTGCCCGTAAGATACAACGGAATGAGCGAGTTCCATAGAAACGATCGGTGAGCGCTCCCCTTTACCTATCTTTTCCGTGCCTGAACAGCCCACCAGAATTAGAAGAAATATTTAGCGTGGGACTTCGAGCATATGTAGGCCAAAATCAGCAGTATACACTGGGAATCAGCTTTTTCCGGGAATATAGAGGAGGATTGGAAATGGTTCAGTGAGTTATTGCATATTCTCCTGACAAACCACTGTCCGCCCCCACGGAAGAGGCTAGAGAGTCGACGCCGTTGTCTGACTCAGGCGTTAAAAAAGGAAGAAACTAAAAAGCAGCGATTGTGGCAGAAATCTCCGACTGATCGCAAACCTGTGTCCATAAACGCATGCAAAGCACAGAGGAACTTAGTCAAATGACTCACCCTCAGTAAACGGCAACATTTTGAAAAGGACCTACTGAATCGTACTGTGAAAAATTCGAAATTATTCTACAGTTACGTAAGAAGCAGCAAGCAAAATAGAGATCCTGTCCCCCTTCTAAAGACAAACGGAGACCTAGAGATTAGTGAGGATGGAGCAGAAGCTGAACACATTCGACAACTTTTTAAATCCATCTTGACGAGTGAAAACGCATTTACTCCTCCCCACTACGACTTCGATGACGGTCCAAAAATTGAGGCTGTATCTTTTGATGAAGCGACTGTTCGCAAAGAACTAATGACGCTAAGTGAGTCGAAATCATCAGGTCCAGACGATATACAGTCTAAGTTACTGAAGGAGCTCGCTGCTGAACTAACCAGACCACTGTCATGCTTTTTCAAGCCTCGTTCGAAGCCGGTTGTTTACCCGCCAACTGAAAATCTGCATGAATCACACCGCAACAAGGCCTCTGCAAACAATTACAGACCAGTTAGCCTCACCTCCATCTGCTGCAAAATCATGGATAAAATAATTAAGCGAGAGCTAATGCGCTCCCTAGAGCAGCATAATCTATTAACTGATGCGCAGCATGAGTTCCGTAGTGGCAGAATTTGCGTGACAAACTCGCTATACCGGTCGCATCGTTGGACTCGGGCAGTTGATGAAGGCAATGCGCTGCATGTAGTCTATATCGACTTTAAAAAGGCATTTGGTAGTGTTCAACATCAGTGAATCCTGCAAAAACTGAGCCGAACATGTGTTTGGGATAATCTCTTAAAATGGGTTCAAAGCTTCCCGTTTGATCGTTCTCAAACTGCCCATGTTGATGGCCAGCAGTCGACGGAGGTTGCCGTTGAAAGCAGTGTTCCCCAAGGCTCAGTTCGTGGTCCTACTCTGCTCATGATTTATGTCAACGATTGCCTTAGTGAACTGGATTGTGGTGTCACCATGTTCGCGGTTGATATTAAGCTCTGGGGCGTCACTCCAACTGCAGATGACGAAGAGCATATACAGGCGAACCTAAACCGACTCCAACAGTGGTCAAAGGACTGACTTTTGCCGTTCAGTGAGAACAAGTGCAATATCCTACGAGTCGGCAGAGCCAGTTCCCAGAATCACATGGCCTACTGCCTGAATGGTATACCACTGCAAGAAGTGGACTCGCAGAAGGACTTAGGAGTATGGATTACGACCTCGCTCAAACCCTCGCTGCACTGCAAGAAGGTAGCAAAGTATGACAGGACAGGGTTCACTACCATATGGAGCGCGGTTAGCTGATCTTGATCTCTTTCCTTCGAGTTAAAGGCAATTATGGGGTGACCTGATACAAAGCTTCCGTATCATAAGCGGTCCAGACTGCAGCCTCGTACCGGGGAACTTCTTCGAGTTAGCAACCACCACAAACCTGAGATGTCATCCATTCAAACTACGTGTGACCGGGGCCAGGTTGGACACAAGAAAGTTCTTCTTCTCTAACAGAATGCTTGAATCTTGGAACGTCCTGCCTACAGATGTCGTTATGTCTGCGTGCGTCGAGTTCTTTGGGAGGAAGCTGGATTTGTATAGCGGTGTCCACTAAAATACCACCCGACCTCTGGAAGCTTGACAAGTGCGCAAACACTATTGTTATAATACTACTTGCTAATGTTCAATAACATTTTAAACGAATTTCTTATTGTCTCGAATCCATCTCCTACGCTTACTGGCATGCACCTATGCAACTCTTGTAACTGGGGCTATTATTTCTTTCCCTACACTCCAAACGATCAATGTACTACTGTTAGTACCACTAACACTCGAGAAAGTTCGTCTATCTTTACAGAGTTTCCGATTATTTTCCGATTATGTGTTACATTTATGATAACTTTTCCAGTTTTTGAAATGTTTCAATTGCTTGTAAACAAATAGGGAGTTAAAAGGTGAGGATCTACATTTTACTCAAGTAAAACTGAACTGAACTGAAGTCATCGTCCCTGCACCAACCGTGCTGTGGGACATATGATGGCTACCGTCGTTCACGATGATCGAACTGACTGATGAGGTGCACTTGGTGCGATACTCAGGTTACACCAACCTTGCCCAACTCTATAATGGTGGAACTATATTTCTGACGGACAAAGTGTGTGTGCCGCCGGTGATTTCAGGTGTGCTCCGAAACTCGTTCTGGTAGTATGGGCGCTAGAGCTGGTTTCGAGTTCATGCGTTGACGCGTGCGCTGCTGGTTGGCTGTTGCGTGCGTAACTGCAGCTGCGTAGACCGGCCGTTGTCCGAAGGCGGGATATGAAGCAAAATCGTCGGTACCGTAACCACAATAAAGGGATTTTCGAAAATCATACGCTTTCGATCAATTTTAAACAGCCCTGAAGTAATTCTGGAATACGTCAAAGGGGGAATTGGTGGAGAGGGGGTGACAGTTGCTTTTAGCATGGGCATTTTGAAAATATCTACTTACCGACCAAAATTTTGTCCCAATTAATATAAACTTATCTCAGATAGGAACAAGTAATTTTCAAGAAGAAGGAGGAGGCACGATCGGTGGAAAAAAAGCTGTATTAGCCTGACATTTCGGATTCTCACTCGAATCCATCATCAGAGACAGAGTCAGATAAGGGTAGTAAATTGCCCAGGTGTTTCAGTATTTATAGGATGTAGTTGCTAGGCCGCTACACGCATATTCCAGCTGACAGCTCCCCAGTGCATCACGGCTTGACCGGCCAGGTGTTGAAATATGCAGTTGCAATGGGCCTGTGTGCCGGTCAAGGTTATCGGCTCCCACGCTCATCGCACGCAGTCCAGATGTTGACCACCGGATTTCGTCGTCCGAAACGTCAGGCTAATAAAGTTCTTGTTCCAGCCATCATGTCTCCTTCTTTGTGAATCTTTCCTGGAACTCGCCCCTCGGCTTCTACTAACAAATTATTTTGGTCTGTCTTTCAGCGAATGAATCAACTATGCCAACACGCCTCCCAGACACAACAGTCCAAAACACTTCTCGGTCATACGGAATGGCAGCAGCAGCAGAAGACAAAACAGCAATACGACCCCCAACAGACTCTAAAGAGACCCTTTACTGAAGTGCCTGGTATCTGCCAACGGGTCCTACCCAACAGTAATGTCGCCGTGCAGACAGACACAGAGCCCAAGCGTGTCGTCTCTCCAGTTAACGAGGGCTGTTGCACTCCCTCCTATTCCTACATCGTTCAGAGTGGTCAGAAAGCTGTCTGTTCAACATCCCCTCGCGCGCCGCCCAAGACCCCGCCCCAGCCATCTTGCACCCACATCGACCCTTCCTACTGCAGACCCGCGCTCCCCCTGCAGGGCGTGAGCTTTCCTCATGTTTCATCCTCCTTTGTGAGTGCTCCGATTCCAGAGCCTCTGGACGGCACCCAGACTGCCATGCCTGTGACTACAGTCATCACCGAGGAGAATGAAAGCGAGTTTGCTGAAGCCGCTAACAGGGTGGTCCTGGTGGATGATTTCCAGCCCTCTGGCCCCCCCTACTGTCCACGAATTCAGCTCGTTGCTCAGACTTCTAACGAGAGCAGTGGCTCACCGCCGGCTGAGCGGCAGAGGCCGGACCAGCATCAGTGCCCGCGGGAACTTCGGCTAGGCGGTCGGCACCAACAGCATGCAGCGCCAACGGCACCGACATTGACTGGTTCGCCCTGTGACGAGTGTGAGGCAGCGGCAGCGGCGGCGGCGGTACCGGGAGGTACACCGGTCTGCCTGTCCACTAACTCTTCCTGCAGCTGCTCCCGGTGCCGCAAGTGCTCCTGCAGTTCCTGTTGTCGACGCCGCAGTTGCTCCGAGGCCACTCTTATACTGTCGGGAAACGAGGAGGACGATCGACTGTCTGCTCGGATGGGGCAGTCACCGCCAGCAGATCACCTGGCCCCACTTGAACTACAACCACCGCATCATCATCATCCTCATCATCAGCTGCCTCCAAAAAGCACCCCCAGCAAATCATCCAGCTGTTCCCGCGAGCGCCAGCGAATAGACAGGCAGAAAGCATCTACGGAAGCCACCGTGCCAAGAGCCAAGCCAGCACAAGAAACCTCGTCGCCGGCGAAGGAAGCAAAAGTCCACCGAGATGCTGGGAGTTCTCCCGTTGGCGACCAGAATCCACTAGATCTACGGGTGATATTAGGCGACAGACGAAAGCGGGAACTGTTGCAACAATGGCTGATAGACCAGATGTCTATCAATGTTGCCCGACTGGTTGGCCAGAAGGCCTCTGTTCGCCAGAGACACTGGCCTGCGGAAGGACGTCATCAGGGTGATCTGCATGCACCGACCAGACATGGGGGACCTGATGATCATACGATGTCCGGCAGTGTCATGGGGGAAGAAGAGGAGGAGATGAGTGATTTGGATGGGACTTCCATGTCAGTGGAGGAGCAGGATGACAGGGGTGAGGTGGAAGAGGAAGAAACGGAGACAGAAACGGTTGGCACAAATAGCTATAACAGCTGGCGTGCCAGTCCATCGTCCGGACAACAGAGGGCTCAGAGAAGACCGAGCAGGAAAAGACGAAGTCTGGGGGAGTCCCAAAGACAGGCGAAAGAATCACCTCAGAATAGGAGTGCTGGACGGGTGAAGGGTGCGGATAGCAGTCTCGTGAAGAACATTCAAGGCAGACCTGCAAACTACAAAAAACCTCCCGGACGTCCCACTGAGGTGGCAAGGCTTCAGAAACAGTCTTCCGGGGATGTCTGGAGAAAGCCGTCACATTTCCAGCAAGCAAAGCCGGGACCTCAAGGATTCTCAACACCACCACTACCACCACAAGAAGAGGAGCAAAATTTTCTACCAAAGAATACCAAGAAAAAAGCCAATGGTAAACGAAACAAGACGACGAAAAGAACTGGGCGCAAAGGTGTTGGAGCCCCAGAGAGGGACGCGAAAAATATCAACGCCGAGGACGGAGGTTATGGAGACAGCAATTGTACGCAGCCTGTGAGTCAACGGGCTATAACCAACATGCAACCGCGGTGGGACGAGGGTCAGGCCGAAAAGGGACCCCTTTTTCGCAGACTTGGTCACAAGCTACAGCCACCAGCTGAAACCACTAATGGCTCTGGCCAATCCGATACTGCAAACCATGGCTACGCATTTGAGCGCGTCCTTGAACTCAGTCCTTACGACGACATCGTTAAGAGCTACCTGAACCCGCCGGACCGTAGGGTCAAGTCGGTGGCTCTGAAAAATCATTGTTATGTCTCCGTACAGGGGCCATTTAAGCAGAATTCTGGTGGAGACACTGCCGTCATAGGCCAATCTTACAACAATTTTCGCACCAAGGAGGTCTACCGTATTTTGGTGGCCTCCTCCACAAATGAGCGCATTGAGAAGTGCCTCAACTACCTCAAGGAAACCTTTCCACATTCCTGCCTCAAAGCCACTTCGAGGATGTTTTAGGTCACACAGGACCGGCCTCCACGCATATGTGTGTGTGTTCTTCATCCATTACTTTTGGGTTTTGTGGAGACGAAGCAAGAAGGGTCA